TTTCTCCTTCAATGGTCATCTGTCCACGGCGAGAAAAGCCCAATCCAACTGGAGCTGGAATGAGGAACAGTGACTGCAGTTGTAAGGATGTTATCGTTGCATGCCATGCATGCTTTAGCTTAAACCTACGCATTCAGAAAGTGATGCACTCAAAGCCTCCCTTGAAGTCTTACTCACGTACCAGAAAATGACCGAGCTACCCCATCACTTGGCAACATAAAAAGAAACACGAATGTTAGCTTCCATTGACAGTGCACAACGTAAGGTACTTTTTTATGGTCGTAGAAGTATGGTCTGGCGTACAAGTAACTCTATCGGGTACAGGCAATTAAGAATTCCACCAGTCAGCCATTGTCACCGGAAGCTGTCGGTTGTAACGGACGCCACCTAAGGGCTAACAAAAACCAACTGCTGAAGGGGAGTAAGCGTAAATGTTAATAGTCGGCAAGACTAAGTAAATGCTGAGGAACGATTGGACTGCTTGTATTCCCTCCCATCGACAGTCAGAAATCTTGATACAGGAATATTTATCAAATTCTGGTTTACAGAAGAAAGATAACGAAGGAGGAGGAAGAGGGCAAATTTCAGTTGCCTGTCAGCTACAAGACTGATACTGCGACAAGTAAGCAAGCGGGATAAAGCAATGCTTCTAACTAAAGGAGAGGTATTAACCAATGAGCAATCAGCCGGTCATAAAGACAGCAATTTCAGATCCTAAAATCGTAGTTGTCCTTCCTCGACAAGTGGCAAAGTTCGAGAGAATCCTTCTTCTAGGTATTGTTAAACATTCGTGGGTTAGCGTAATAAGAACAACAAAAAACGGTTTTTGATCAGCGCGCAAGGCCCGAAAGGCCGTAGGTCAGAAACAAAATGTTACGTTTTTCTGTAACCTAGAGGTCCACATAGAACTGAGCTTGCCTAGGGAGACAAAAATTGTATACCACACCCTCGGAACTTCCACAAGTTAGCCTTGTCTCAGTGAGGGGTATACAACACCAATAGAACAAGCTGGATCTACAGTACATGCCAGATTTCGTGCAAAATGCCGATATATGCGAAAGATTGATACTCTTTCGCTAATCGGCATTGACTCA